AATCCTAAAAATGTTTAAGGGTGGATTTCTTTTTAAATTCATTATATGTTGTTATAACAAAATATTTGAGCCTGGATACTTTATAAAGAAAATAAGTTTATTTGGTTAACAATTCTGATGGCTGGAGAATCCAAACCGCAAGGTGTATGTGATGAGGGCTTCCCACTGGCAGCTTTACAACATGACAGAGAAGCAGAAAGGAAACCAGATATATACAGGAGAAGCCAAGGAATGGAGTGACCTTGCTTTATAACAACATACTCTCTCAAGAAATAATCCAGTCGTAGGGCTGGGGTTATGGCTTAGCAGTGTGAGGCCCTGAGTTTGATCCTCAGCACCACTAAATAAATAAATAAATGAAGATTTAAAAAATAAATAATCCAATCACCTAACCAATTCCCCATTCAGAATGATAGAGCCCCATGACCTAAGCGGATTCCATCAGGATGCAACTCTTAAAGGTTCTCCTTCCTTAAAACTGCCATACTGGGAACCACTCTCCAGAAAAACCACCTTCAAATGGAAAAACCACCTTCAAACCATGGCAGTCTACCTGTATAGAATTAAAACAATAGTGCATTAGTTGGAATGGAGGTAAGTGGGGTTGAAAGGTTCTAAGTAGAATGTCTGAGATATGGTAAAAGAATTAATATATATGGGTTTCTAATAAGTTGAGGAAATTTGTTGTAAGATCTAGGGTGTCCACTAAAGGAATAGAAAGAGAGTGTAAAATTAATGAGCAAAGAAAAGGGAGAAAGAATAACAAAAAACATTTAAACAATCCCAAAGTAGTCAATAAAGGCAGGAAAAGCTTGTAAGGAAAACTGAAAGCAAGTAATGTTACATATATATGTGCCCATATGTATGTGTATGAGGTCATATGCTGGGAGATTTTGACATTCTTTTTCTCTGAATAACTGATAAAAAATGAAGATTTGAATAATACAATGATACTGATATAAATAAAATTCTATGCCCGACAATTGTGACATGCATATTTTCTATTAAAATACACATGTAACATTTGCCAAAATTAACTAAATGCTAGATTGTAATGAACATTTTATAACAGAAATAATACAAAAATGTTCTCTGAGCACAGGGGGATTAAGTTAGAAATCAATAACAAAAGGATAATTTAAAAATTCATATATTTGGAAACTAAGAATAAACTTCTAAATTTTACATAAATACAAAGGATATATCACAATAACATTTGACATTATTTTCTTTTACTAACTTATTGAGATGAACATTGAGTTTTAGCTTTTCTTCTTTTCTCATATATGCAATTATTTTTGCAATTTTCCCTCTAAGCTAATCTTTGTGTTGTATCCCACAAATATTTTGGATTATCAAAAAGGAGAAATTAATCTTGACCTCTTTCCTTTGTTATACACAAAATACAACAATGAAGATTTGGTAAGATAGCATAAGAAAAGAGCTTCATGATATTGAGATAATTAAAGGCTTCTTAAATTAATCAAAGCATTTTCGATAAAGGAAAATACTGATATACTAGACTATGTTCGGATTAGGAATTTATCAAAAGAAACCATTAAGAAAATAAGTCAAACCACAATTAAAATATATTTGTATTTCCTACAAATCAATAAAGAAAAAAAGATCAACATGATAGCAAAGTATGCATGACACCTGAATAGCACTCATTATACAAGAATATATCTAAGTAGCCAATAAACAAATGAAATAGTACTTAACTCATTAGCAAGTGGAAAAATTCTAATAAAACACAATGAAACATTATTTCAAGTACAAGAGTGACTACAGTTTAAAGCAACAACCATATCACCTCAATAGGGCAATGGGAATACTCTGCTGGTAGAACTGTAAATTGGTGCAACCACTTTGGAAAAGACATTTGGCATCAACTGAAGCTGAATATATTCATATCATATAATCCAGCAATTTCACACCTAGGTATATACAAGAGGAATATGCACATGTTTGTACAAAGACATGAACATAACTGTTCATAGTAAGAGTATTCTGAGGGCTTAGAATTCACTTCACCTGCACTAGCATCACAGTGACCCCTGATAAAGGCATAAAACTTACCAATTACTAGTGTTACTTTATAATCATGGCATATCAATAGCAATGATATTGATGACTCATATTTGGTTTAATGAGACTCCCTGAGGCTGGCTACAGCTCAGCAATATGCCTACCTCACCAGCAAACTTGGAAAAAAGCAACATCTTGAACTTCTTTTTGTGACCCTGGTTCTAAAGGATTCTATGCACATGTTGGTTCCTGATTAGAGAGAAAAAGTGTGTCAGTATGGTCCCTACAGAGTCAGCACAACTGGATCCTGGGTCCACTGTAACCTTTGCTGTTGTCTGGATTGCATATCCTTACCTTGATTCTCTGCTACATTGAATCCTTTTCCTGCAATGAACTGTAGATTCATAAACATGGGTCTTTGAGTCCTGTGAGTCTTCTCTAGCATCAAACCCCATTTCACTTACACTGTTATTACAATAAGATTACTTGTAATAGCCCCAGACTGCAGGTCTCCCCAATGTTCGTCAATAGCAGAATGGATAGGAACTAAATCAGGTTATATTCATACAATTGAATATCACACAGAGAAGAAAAGAAATACTACTGCTACATACAAACAGATTAATCTTACAAACATATGTTAAAAAGAAACTAGATAAGAAGCAACCATACTGTATGATTACATTTGTATAAAATAGAACAAAAATAAGCAGAACTAATCTAAGGTAAATACTGGTTACCTTTGGAGAAAGGGGATGGAATAATAACTAAAAGATGGCAAAAGCTAGACATGTTCTAATCTCGTGACCTGGCTAGTGATTTATTGGGTATGTTTGGTTGGTTATAATTCATCAAGCTTGTGGTTTTCTGCAGGATATTATTTTTTTCTTAAAACTGTATTAGAAATTTAAATGTTTCAGAAAAAGATGGTTCCAGTGTTTGAGAACTGGTTGCCAAAATATGGAAGGGGTTGTGAGACCAAAGAGACACACAGATCCAGGATAGCAAAAAATGTAATTTATTGGGGACTTATGGACAGAAGTTTATTTGGGTCTGTAGTAAGACAGAAGGATCCATGCACCCCAAGGTAAGAGGAAGGGGTTTATATGCTAAGCTAGACAAAGGTAGTTCTCAGTCAACTGGATTGTAGTTGGCCTTTCTCAAAAATGTTCAACCTGTTCAATATTAGTTATGAAGTAGTCTGGGCATCAGTGGCCACAAAACACTCCGCTAATTATCTGAATGACTTTGTTTGTCTTATAGGGTTTGGGATGAGGGTCCAGGGACACTGGGCAGGCAAGAGGGCAGTTATGTTGATTTGGATCCCTACATAACAACAAACACCTGTGAATTCATTTAAAAGGAGAAAAAGGGAGAAATACTTCTTTGGCCATATTTAGAAGTAATGAGAACATCAACTCCTTAATCTAAAAATTGGCAACTCATGGGAAAAACTTAAGCAATTGATTTGTCTTTCTCATCAACTGCATTTTAGTGCAATTAAATAGACCTGATTGATGAGGGAAATGTTTTACATATGATTTCTAACTTATAAATGTAGAATTGATGATAGAACTAGAAAATCACCAGTGGTAACTCCAAATGAAAAAGAGATAGGCAAATATCATGGTATTAATCACCTATGGCTACATAACAGGCTACCCCAAATGTAGTGGCTCAAAACAATAAAACTGTTACTATGGCACCATTCTGTGGGTAACAAATCTTACCAGGTGCCCTGCCTCAGGGTCTCTCCAGGCTACAATCAAGGTGTCAGCTTTATGGTCATCACAAAGCTTGTCAGGGAGAGGATTTGCTTCTAAGCTCATTCTTGGGGCTGTTGCAGATCTTAGGTCCTTGCTGGCTGTTGGCCAGAGACAACAATTACTTGCCACATGGGCATCTCAAAAGATGGCAGCTAGTAAGTGAGCAAGAGAGCAAGAGAGGGTGTTCAAGACAGAATCCATAGGTTTTTGCAACTTAATCTTGAAGGGGAACCCCATCACTCTTCTGCATTCTATTCTTAAAAGTCTTGAGTCCAGCCCAGGCTCAAGGGGAAAGGATTACACAAGGATGTAAATAGTCAGGAACCGCTGGGAGTCTCTTAGAGATTGTCTACCATAGCTATTGGATGAAAAGTTAATGGAGGAATTTGATAAAATAGAGATAGCAGGATGTCACCACCTAAATGCTGTTTAAAATCACTAAGACAGGGACAGCCAGACCTTTTTTTTGCCTTGTGCTATGAAGCAATGTGAAATACACAGCACTATCTAATATTCTTTCCAAAAAAAGAGGTGAGTATGAATCTAATCAAGCCTATTTACAAGAAAAATCTATTTTTAAAAAAAACCCTATGTGATAGAAGAGCAGGTTAAATGACACCATGGAGATACAAATCTAGAAGGTGGAAATCTCTATAGCAAAATGGACCTATTTTGTAAGCTAATTGCCTGGGGGAAAATGAAGACTTGCTATAGATTAAAAAATCCATAAGAAAACTAGCAACCAGGGGCTGAGGCTGTAGCTCAGTGGCAGAGCACTTGCCTAGCATGCAGGAGGCACTGGGTTGGATCCTCAGCACCACATAAAAATTCAAATAAATAAATAAATAAATAAATAAATAAATAAAGGCATTTTGTCCATTTGTCCACTACAAAAAAAAAATTAAAAAGAAAACTAGCAACCAAATATAGTCTTTAGACCTTGTTTGGATCCTGATGCAAACCAACTAGAAAAAGACAGTTTTGATATAATAAGATGAATTACAGATATGGTACCAAGGAATTAACTCTCATTTTTAGGCAAATAATGGTATTGTAATTACCAAAGAAAATATGTATATTTTTCTGAAGTGCACACCAAAATATATAAGGATAACATCTAAGACATGAGGGTCAAGACTTCCTTTAAAATATGTCAACTTACACAGCAAAAACAACATAAATAAATGAAATAAGTACAATAAAATGTTAATGTATGTTCAGGTTTAATACTAGTGCAAACATTCCCTCTGTTTCAGTCTCCCTATTTTTTTCCACAACTTCTATTGGATGTATTTATAAACTTTTCTTTGTACCCTTCATTATTCACAACTTTTTCAAAATTTCCTGCTGTCTTACTGTGCTATCGTCTAGAAGCTTTTCAGTGCTAGCTTCCAATCAACAGTCCTCTCTCCTCAGATATAAACTATGCCATTGGGATAATTTATTGAAGGTTATTATTACTTTAATGACTTTATGTTTTACTTTCAAGATTTCCAATTCATCCTTTTCAAATCTTCCTGTTCTTGTTTCATTAAGCCTTTGAGTGGTTAGTATATTATGTAAAGTTCTCAGATTGATCTCTATATCCACAGGCATTAATTATTCAATTTGTTGAGTTAGTCAACTATTTTGATGATTATGGATCTCCTTGTGTGCTTAAATGTTTTGTGGGAGGGGAGGATTCTGGGGATTGAACCTATAATGAGCTTATTCTTGCTTGCCTGGGTGTTCTTCATATGCATCCTTTTCAAAAATATATGATCAACACTTTCTTTGCAATTCTAAACCATTAAGACAGGTCTTACAATAGCAGATCAACTTGGATCTTATACTCTATGTTAATGTTTTAATTTGGGGCTTTGCATGAATACTATGTAGACGGAGTTCAAATATTGTATTGAGTGCCTTCTCTGTGCTTCAATGCTCCCAAAAGAAAACTCCATATCCAAGATATTTTAATAAACTATATGTTCCAGTTAAGAAAACTAGTCTGAGGATAAATGACTAAAGACTTATGAACCAGTGTAGGGGAAATAAAACCAGGCATATTCTGGCTCTCTACAAATCTCTTCTCCGTGTTGTATTTTATGTCCATGAATGAAACTGGAGTAGTGCACTTCCATTTTGCAAGCCCCTTAACATATTTCCATTCCAGATCCCTTAGATCCATGAATTGTTTTTCTGAAAAGAATCATATTTTGAAAGGGTCACATGGTGTTGTTATTCAACCTTCAGTCACTCAGATGCTTCATGGATAGAATAAATTGTTTCAGAAAATTGAATCTCCTTTTCCTTTTTGGCAGAAAGCTGCTTCTGAAGCTTTATAAACTGAGGGGAACCTTTAGTGTTCATTTCACCCAAAGCCTTCCCCTAAGTAGGGAATTGGGTGAGTCTGGCTGATTGGGCTCAAGTGGATCCTTAAGCCATAGCAGATCAAAGATTGTCTGCTTTGGTGTTTGGATAGCAGCATAAATGACAAATGGAAAGACTTGCATAGCACTGAGAACAACAGAAAGGAGAAAAGAATCCTAATCAGTGGTTGAAACAAGGAGGAAGAGTGATCAGCATCATTTCTTTTAAAGATGATACTCTAAGCCCTAAATATAAAAGGGCAGAGGCTTGCTGGAATTTGGCTGTTTTCTATACACTTTCAGGAACTACCTGCTTGGAATGTCATTAGTACTTGTAATCTTTTCAAGGAGCTGATGATCATGGAAAACCAAGCCAAGATGTATTGCATGTCCTCTACCCAGCAACCACTGCCCATTTTCTGACCTTCAATTCCTGTCATGACTGAATATGTTGTAAAGTTTTTAAAAAAAAAACATCAAAAAAGGTCAAGACTGAAAGCAAGGGCTTGAGTGTAACCTTGGCCAAAGAGCTAAGGAGAGAAGTATGATGATCAGTTAGATGATGAGTACAGTGGACAAGCTGGAAGGCTGGCCTCCTGTTTGTGGGTGACTTCATCATCATTCCCATGTGGTGACATTGGAGCAAATCACTTATGGCTCGAGGGTCAAGCCCACTCTGCTCCTGTCCCAATCAGTCCTGCATCCCCGTTCTGGGAAGGATCTGGGCTTCCTGTGCCCATCTGATAAGAAATCTTTGTGTATGTTCCATATATGTAGAAGACAGATGCCAGAACTATTCCTTATTCCCCAAGGGAACAGATACACTGGAGCTGCCACATTGTCAACTGTCAGTCCCTAGGGGCCAAATCACCAAATTCCAGGGAGTTGACAAGATCATCACAGACCTGGTGTGGCAAGAACAGGAGAAGGTAGAAAAGGACAGGAAGGGATATTTAGCAAGAGATGGACCTAGAGATGATGATTTGTATTAGTAAAGAGCTTTATATCATGATCTTGGTAGATACTATAGGTTGTCTTCCTCCAAACCCATTACAACCCTCTTCTGCTTCCTTCTGCCATAAAAAGGGAAGCAAAGGGTTCTGTCCTTAACCTTGCTTAGCAAAAGACCTCTGAAGAGGGATGTCCTAGGAAAACTTTGCTTTCATATGAAAAGAAAATATGGACTTAGGATTGTAACTCAATGGTAGAGTGTGTGCTTTGCATGCATAAGGTCTTGGGTTCAATGTCCACCACCACCACAGGCACACACACACACACACACACACACACACACACACACACGGACAGAAGTACAAATTTGGCCCTTTGTTCTAGTACACCTCTTCCTGCCTGGGTTGTGGTAGCATCTGATGAAGAAGGAGATGTGTTTTTTGGACATAAAGATAGAAGCTACATACAAAACAATGGCAGAGCCAATGGTAGTCGACCACTGAGCCACATCCCCAGCCCTATTTTGTATTTCAAAGACAGGGTCTCACTGAATTGCTTAGCACCTTGCATTTGCTGAGGCTGACTTTGAACTCGCCATCCTCCTGCCCCAGCCTCTCGAGCTGCTGGGTTACAGGTGTGTACCACAGCACCTGACAAGAAATAAGGTCTTTGAAACAGAGGACAGACTCTGGGAGCCACATTAGAGACCCTTGAAATTTAGGTGAACAGCAGGCAGGGCATTCTTTAGGAAGAAAGGATAATTCTATCCACTGTGGGTGACAAAGTATCTATGAACATAGAACATCCATGTTTTATGGGTCAATATTTGACTATTTCTATTTTTTTCCCATGTGGCTTCATCTGTTTGGATTACCTGGGTTTGCTGAAACGTATCTGGGAACTTTGTCTTCATAGATCATCTTCTCATGGATGGAATCAGGAAAGCCTAATATTTTGATGCTCTGAATCTTCTTAATAATGGTAGACTTCGGGAAAGCGCTGGAATGATCATCCATAATGTTATAAGGAAATGTATGTATGGGAGGAGGGATCCCAATCTGAGCCAGTCTTTTTTGGGACTTGGAGAGTGGCGGTTTTGGAGGGAGTGGGTCCATTAGTAAGCTGCGGTGGAGAAGCTCCACCATGGATTCTTTCTTTTCATCCTCTTTTTTACCCACTGTATACATGAAAATAGACTGGGGGTCTTCTTTCACACCAGTTTTGCTGATGAGTGACCTTTCATCCAGGTTTTTACTAAGTATTTTCTGTGCTTCCTTAGGTGAAATGCCATGCGTTTTTAGAAGAATTGAATTCTTTCTGTTCTTCCTAAAATTCTCAACTGATGCATATAATTCGGGCAGCTGTGGAGTAAACAAAAAAAAAAAAGGAGTGTAAAGGGAGTTATAGAATAGATGAAAATGTAATGGACTGACAGACCCAAGTCCTAGAATAAGGAGGATAACAAATAACCATAACAATGTAAGTATTTATCTTTGGAAGATATCTTTGCTTAAATTAAATCCAGGTGGCAATGTGGAATAGAGAGCAGAAGCTTGAATCTCAGATTCATTCCCACAAAAATGTATTATTTAGACACATCACTTAAACTGAATTGTGAAATAAGATAGCTAGATTTGGGTTTGAATGTATTTGGGATCTTTCCCAATCCAAAATTCTATTGAGGGAACATGAGAGATAGTTGAGGGTGGCTGTGGCTTTTGCTGGTTTTGAATAATGGTGTATTTCTTTTAAGGAAGAAAAGGAGCCTGATCATCTAGATATTAAAGCTTCACCCTGGTGTCCAAGGGGCTCAGAAATACATGCAAAGGAAGCAGTAATCGTTGTAAGTCACAGGAATATTTTACCAAACAAATGGTTACATTAGTGAGAATAATTGTTAGCTAACAAAACGAAACAAAACAAAACAGTGATCCTTCAGAGTATCCTTTCCCATATAAAATCCTATATTGAAAAAAATGGGTCCTCTGCTTCCTGGTGGCCATGTTCTCTGAGCTGCTTCCCTCAACCATGCTCTTCTACTGTGCTGTTCTGCCTTACCTTGGGCCCAGAACTATGGAATCAGCCACCTATGGACTGAGACTTCTGAAAATAAAAGCCAAAATAAACTTTTCATCCTCTGTGTTGTTATTATCATCAGGACTATTGGTTACAGTAACAAAAAGCTGACTAAAACACAAGGTAGTTTGGAGAAGTGGGGTTATTCCTGTGACTAACCTGCCCCTAGGGTTCAAAAGCCTTTGTAATTCATTTAAAAGGTGGGGAGGAATTTCCAAAAGTTCAGAGAGGCAAGTTGGAAAAGCTTTAGATTGTTGTAAGCAGAGCTTATGGGTGATTCTTACAGAGTTGGTTGCCTATGAATTGAGACCTCTGAAAATGTGGGCAAAAATAAACTTTTTCCCCTATAAAAGGAAAGGAAGAAATGAAGGAAGCAAGGAAGGAAGGGAATTGTATTTTCTCAACTGTTCTCTCAATTATTCTATCATTCAGAAGAAGTTTTTTGAGTCATTTAATTAGAAGGTCAAAGAAGCCATAGACTCATGTTAGAGCCAAAATTTGGGTCTAATTGCAGAGTTTCCTTTTAATCACAGTCAGATCTATTGCCAAGAACAATAAATAGAACATTAACTAAAGTTACCAAATGGCTCATTAAAACTAATTAACGTCATTAAGGGAAACAATTTAACATCTAGGCTCACCTGTTCTTGGAAGAGCTATGTTTTGCTGGGACAAAAAAAAAAAAAAAGTTAAGTCACTGAAATAAAATGTTGGTGTTCCTTATGGCTCCCAGGTATGTTACTGAATAGTCAATAATCTAGATTTTTATAACGCTTAAATCTCATTTCCTGTGTGCAATATCATAGGATTTTAAATACATACCGAACATATCTGAAATGATGGTGTCCTATCAACTTTAGCTGAATTGTTGTCTCTCGGGAGGGACATTGTGCTGGAATTTTATTCCCTAACTCCTAAAAAGCAAAAATCAAAGATAAAAAATCAGATTAAGTACAAAAGAAAATTCGGGTACAGTGGCACTCCCCTGCAATCTTGGAGGCTCAGGAGGCTGAAGCAGGAGGATCTAAATTTGAGGCCAGCCTCAGCAGCTACTTTGTGAAACACTCAACAACTTAGCAAGACCCTGTCTCAAAAGAGAATATAAAAAGGGCTGGGGATGCAGCGCAGTAGTAGAGTGCCCCTGGGTTCAATCCTCAGTACCTTAAATAAACAACAAACAAAAATAAATAAATAAACAAACAAACAAAAAGAGAGGGGCAAAGTTTTAAAGAAAAATCTTCTGAACTTTGTGAGTGGGACACTTTTAAAAGCATTTCAATTTTTTTTGTGTGTGTGTGGTACTGAGGATTGAACCTTGGGTGTTCTACAACTGAACTATATCCATAGCCCATTTTAATTTTTATTTATTTTGAGACAGGGTCTCACTAAGTTGCTGAGGCTGGCCTTGAATTTTCAATCCTCCTGCCTCAGCCTCCTGTATTGCTGAGGATTACAGGCATGTGCTACCATGCCTGACAAATTCTTAAATAACATATATTTTTCAGGTTAGTTCAAAGAATACTGCATGGACTTTTGTTTGTTTGTTTTGTTTGGTCTTATGTAATCTGATCAACTTTTTAGTTCTTCTAAATAAAAAATCACCTACCTTCGTACCCAGGAAAAAGTGTTTTTCATTCAGGAGAGAAAAGTTAATGATGAATAACAATTACAAGAACAAGGAACATTCTGAAATAATTTGCTTTGTGCCAGATATGAAGCAGTTTGTAGATGGCAATTTATTTAATATCTTGGTGAAGAATTTAAAATGAACAAAGAATCTCTACTTACTTGTCTCGTTGATAAAACGGCAGTTAAATCCACTACCATATTTGATTCTGGCTTTATGCTTGGCTTTGACCAATAGCAAGTGGCCCTGCCTGAGTGACACTGTGTGAGTGCCAGAGTTCAGTCTTAAGCTGTCAGCTTCACTTCACATTCAGGGAAACCTAGGCTGCCATGTAAAGTGGTCTGGCTGCCTTTCTGGGGAGACCAGACAGCCAGCCCCCACCACTAGACTTGTAACGAAGTCATCTCGCTTCTTCCAGCCCCCGAGGAGACCCCAGATGACTGCGGCTTCATGCACAATCCTGGCTGATCCTGAATGGAAAGAGCCACCACCCAGAAGAGCTGGCCAACTCTAAAATTATAAAATGAGTTATTGTTGTTGCAAGCCACTAGGTTTGGGGTGCATTGTTATACAGAAATAAATACAGGTAACCTCTGCAATAGTTCACATCCTTAGTTTAATTTATTCCAGCAAACACTCTGTTGGCAGGTAAGGAAATATATGAAGGGAGAACATTCCTGGGTGGCTCTGCATCCTGACTGGTAGCTCTGGGCACTGGGATGGGTGTCCGAGAGGACCCCAAACACTCATTTGTTGATTGAGATGAAGCAAAAACAATTGCATTCTTCCCCTTCTTCCTTTTCCCTCCCAAGCAAAGTTAAAAAAAATCCATATCTATCTATTATTTTCTATCTATCTATTATCTATCTATCTATCATCTCTACAGCTAACCAACCAACCACCATAGCTTAGCCACACAATACACTATGGAGTGTCAGTTGCTTCCTCTTGTGATTGTGTGGCTAACTAGGATCTGTGGCTTGCTGCCATCTAGGCTAGAAAATGATCAATATTCTAAATTTGAAGTTCGTTTTCTACTTAACATGTACTGCTTTGCACCACTGTAAAGTTGAAAACTTGTAAGTTGAACTGTCATAATTTGGGGACCATATATCCATTTATATTTCCAAATAGACTATTGTTGCTACTGAGACCTCTATATTAATATATGACCCTCCCCCCCCCAAAAAAAAGACAGTGCAACGTGCACACCTCTTTTCTTACTTTCAGAAGTGGCTTCACAGACCTGTCAATTAAAGTAAAACTTTCCTTATATGGTTTCTGCAAAGGAAAATATTTTCTTTAAAATTTCATCTAAAACCTCTGAGTTTCCCAGCTCTGATGGCCAATCTGCAGCTCTGTGTAAATAAATTCAAGTCAATATCTGAGAAACGTATGTGCATTTCATTACAGTGGGATTGAGGACAGGACTGGAGCACAAGGAAGCTTAGATTCTTGCCGATCTTCGTTGCTGAACTACAATTGCGTACATGCTCTTCTCACTGAAGAAACAGGATTCTGAACGCAGAAACAGGTCGTTAGCCAGTGTTTTTATACACTTTAACTTTAGCTGTATAACATACTTTCAACTTCAGGCCCTTTGCTTTAGCCAAATCCATGCTAAATCTGGTTTAATGCGCAATCCAAACTCTTCTGGTGAGTGAATCTGGACTCATGAAAGTCATGACAGTCAGCAGGCAGCTTGGGTCCACACAACTTGAGCGGAGCTCTTTGGGGGGCTCTTCAGCACTCTGTCCATTACTTATTATTCCCAGAAATTCCCGCCATTCAATTCTAATTGTAATGAGAAGAGCGAGGGTATGTCATAACTCCCTGGGATGGTATCCCATGGTTCCTACCCAACTTTTCACCCTTCACTCCTGTCTAGAAGGAAAAGTTCTCTCTGCTCATCTAATATTAATTTCTCTCTTTCTTGTCCAGGGAGGCATGTTTTATTCTTCTTGTAACCTTGTGGTATATTTCCCCTCAATTTTCTTTCCTCCCCTTCCAACAACTCTTCATTTTCTTTCTTCTTGCTTCTCTATCACTCTTTTATCTTCTATTTCACTTTCTCCAATGTAATGTATCCTTTCCTTCTTTACAAATATGTAATATTTCTTCCACTTGGAGGAAAAATACAGCCCCTTTTGACTCTGTTTCTACCACTAACTGTAGCCTTTTATGTCTTCTTTAACTCTATACTTGCTGTTTTTATATTCTCATGATTAATCTTTAGAATAATGGCATTTAACGTCCATGCTATATGATGAACTAAAATTGAATTCTTGAAGGGAATAGTGGGGAGGGACTAGGGATTTAACCCAGGTGCAGTTTACCACTGCGCTACATCCCCAATCTTTTCCCTAGTTTATTTTTTAAATTTTAAGACAGGGCCTCTACTAAAAGTTGCTGAGGCTGGTCTTGACTTGAGATACCTCCTGCCTCAGCCTCCCCAGTCATTGGGATTATAGGTGTGTACCACCATGCCCAGCTCAACTATCAATTTGAAAGTAATTTTTACTATCCTTATTTTTCTCCATCTCAACTATTAACTACCCCCTCATTTTGAAACTATTTTTTAAAAGAATAAATTCCCTGATATTTCTAAATGATTTGCAATGATCTTTTTATTTTGTACAATGAAATGTTTACTTCTTATTCTTACTTAATCTAACAGATAACAGCTTGTTTGATCTTGCAGTGATCTTAATAGTGCATCTAATTGTCTTCAGTTTGGGACTACTGCAATGATCTCTTCCCGATTACATTGTCTGGTGTTATTCTTCTTGTTATCTGTTCCAAACCACCTCTTTATCCATTGAATAATTAGCCCATTCTTCACACTTGGCCACTTATTACTTTTAGGACAAGATATAAAAAATTTAACTAGACTTATAAAGGCCATTCAACAATCTGCTTCTAACACTTTTCCATCATTTAAGAATCAAACTTCAAGTAGGGGCCCCGTGGTGTGTGCCTGTCATTCCAGCTACTTGGGAAGCTGAAGCAGGAGGACACAGTGAGCCCAAGAGTTTGAAGCTTGCTGGACAACATAGTGAGACCATTTAAAAAAAAATAAAAAGGCCAGAAAAACAAAACAACAATGGCAGACAATAAATCACCAAACAACAACACATACAAAATTTAAAAAAATATGATAGTTCAAGAAATCATATTTCACTGCTACCACAATACCATAAATATAATTTCCAATTGTATCAGCTAGGTCACAATCCTCTGTTTCAGTAAAATTCTTGCTTTGATCCCTCAACCATAATGTCCTTTCTTCTTTTCATGCCAATCTAAAACACAATAGAAATGAAGATCAAATTGAAAGAAGCACAATCTTGAATATATTTGTTTCATATAAAAGCAAAATATTTTCCACAGGAAGTAGAAATTTGAAAAAGTTAAAAATGATTCAAAGAGACCTCAGTAATGAGAATTGATTCTCTTACAAGGATGCCAATCAATTCACTGGGGGAAGGTAGTGTTCTCAATAAATGGTGCTGGAACAATTGGATATTTACATGAAGAAGAATAAATTTGGACCCTTAACCAATCCTTATGCCAAAATTAATTTAAAATGGACTATAGACCTAAACATAGTAGGTAAAACTATAGAATACCTGGAATAAAACATGGGAGTGAATTAAATAAGCAATGATTTCTTGAATATAGCACCAAATCACAAGCAAAAGAAGGAAAAAAGTAAATGACTATATTAAAATAAAAATCTCTGTGCTTTAGTGAAAGAAAGAGAAAATATCTGCAAATCGTCCTTCCATCAGGTACTTATACCCCAGAGTTCATAAAGAACACTTACAAATCAATAAAAAAAAATATCCAATTAAAATATGGGCAAATGGGGACTTCGGTTTGGTTTTCAGTGTGGCACATAAGAAGCTTTGAAGTCATCACTCTGTCCTAACCACAAGTAAAAAGCCAAATAGAATGAAAACAACTCTTTTGGGGTCTGACAGAGAAGTGAGGTCACACTGCTGCATCTAAAGTTCAAAGGACAGGCAGGTAAATAGAATCACAGCGTATCAAAGCAGAAACCTCCCCTAGAACCGGGCAAGAAGCCTCCACAGGAACCAGTACCGCAATCAATCATGTGTAGCTTTTAGTGAAAAATATTACAAGGCACATGAAGAGGCAAAGAGTCAGTTTGAAGAGACAGAGCAAACACTGGAACCAGATGCTGATAAATACAAAAAGTCAAAAATAAAACACACAAAAACAAAAGTTGTACGTAGTTATATTCAAATTGCTGAAAAGCAAAGA